AAGGCGAGAATGTGTGCTTAATAATCACCGTTCAACAACAGCGGTTAACCTCATAAATTAAGTTCATGCATTACATTCTTTACGTTAATTTCTGGTTTCAATTTTATTTCAACGTGTGGTGATTAGAAGTCGAAGATGAATGTATGCATGCAAGGGGTATTGGATGACAATTAATGCTGTGGGATGTGTTTTGAGCGCAGTAAATGTTTGAGCATGGTTTTGTTTACTTTTATGAGAGATGATGCAGGTAAATTCAACGTTTTTGGAATCATGAAATTTTTGGTTATGCATGCAAGATTTGAGGATGTTTGTGAACCTAGTAACTAGGGTTTGCAATCTTCTGTAAAGTGTGAGAGCCAAACTTGTCTAAAAATCGCAAATATTGCTTATTCTTAATGTTTTACAAACAAGGGTGAAACAACATGTTCGGAAAATAATGAGACGCTTGCTTACTAGAATAAACTTAGGCCTTCACTTAGGCCTTCAACACAAAATTTTAAATAAAAACTAATACCAAAGTGCATTACCGAACCGATTCAATCTACAATCAAGCACACTCGAGGAAAAATAGTCAAAAAAGAATCGCTTGGCATCATGCCCATTTTTTTGCTCCCTTTTCTCTAACTTTTTCCTTCTATTCTTTTAAATTCACATCTTTTTCATTTAACGTGCAGGTAAAATGAACCATTAAAATAGTTCATGATGATGAAAAGAAGGCACTAGACTTGAAATGAGATCTTTGTTGTGGATATTTTTTAGCGGGTTTACAAAGAAAGTTATAGCAAACAGCAGAAAAAGAAGGAAGTCTGTGCTGTTATTGTCTATGTCTGTAAAACAATAGGAAAGGTGTGAAAAATATCGACGAAGAGGAAAAAGTTTAATTAGTCTGTAAAATATTTATTGGTGGATTTTTTGGGATGTATAGAGATTTTTTATTGACTTTGCTTTATTTATTGATGATTTTTTAAGTTTGGGTCACAACAAGCTGTTAATTGAATTGATTGGAATCTTCAGTTTATGACGCAGAGTTCAGATGTACAGTCGGAGGCAGGCTATATACTTCTAATCCATGTATATAGGCTAGGGTTCATCAAACAAACTGAAATTGGGTTTAAAAATTTCGAATTCATAAAAATAGCTTTAAATCTTCAATTCCACACTCAATAATCTTCAAATGCATCAAAAAACTCTAAACAAACACACAACAACAAAACTTTAAAGTATTTTCAGTATGTGCGAAAAATTCTTCACTTTAACTACATCTTAAATTAAATATTTACACGTACAGCAACATCAAAAAACCCTCATTCGTTCCTTTAATCATCTCATTGTGTTGCACAAATAGTAAGAAAAGAATCACATCACAGTGGCAAGAGATTAGTCGAATGCGATGCACATAATTTAAATTATTTAATGAAGATGCAGAAAATCTAATAAATCTTGCATGTATTTAAAGTATGAAATGTGCATTCATGACTCATGGGAAGAGAAAGTTTGAGAAAGAAGAAAGGCTGAGGATTAAAAATCAAAGTAAAAATGCACATACGTACATTCATGCAATTAATTTTAATGACACAATTAACCGTAAAATATTTTTCAAGTATCAACATAAAAGGGTGATGATGATGACGACTTGAGTTCTATACTGAGTGATTAGAAGAGATGGAAGTATGAAATTTGTAAAGTTGGAAGATTAAAACGAATTTTCGGAGGATGAATGAAGATTTTTAATGAAACGTTGGTTCAAAAATAACTTGAACCGGTTCAAATTTGTTCAAAATAAATTAAATCGGTTCAAAGTTGTTTCAAATAAATTGAACCGGTTCAAAATTGTTAAAAATAAATTGAACCGGTTCAAAATTGTTAAAAATAAATTGAACCGGTTCAAAATTGTATAAAATAAATTGAACCAGTTTGAAATTGTTCAAAATAAATTAAACCGATTCAGAATTGTTTAAAATAAATTGAGCCGAATCAAAATTGATCGAACCGGTTCAAAATTGTTAAAAATAAATTGAAGCTGTTGAAAACTGTCCAAAATAAATTGAACCGGTTCAAAATTGATCAAAATAAATTGAACCGATTCAAAATTGTTCAAAATAAATTGAACCGATTCAAAATTGATTAAACTAGTTTAATACTTACATTAAATTCATATAAAGCTTCGATGATGCTGGGGAACAAATAAAACAAACAAGCAATGAACAATTGACAAAGCACAACAACTTTCATTCATCCTCCTCGAAAAAAACTTGCACAAAAACACATTAAACCCCGTAAAAGGAAAAGTGAAGTGCCATCCAGTCAAGGTAGAAGCATTCTCTTTATAAAATCAGTTCGAATGATTAAATGTTTAATGCTTAATGTTAAGAAGTTGTCAAGTGAAGCCATTAAGCTGCTTTTCTCATTTATTTTCATTCTTCGTGTCTTTAAATGTGTACAAGCGTTTGATGTAGGCCGAGACCTAACAAACACTTATCCACAAATCGTTTACATTTGTGTCTTTCTCCTCCTTCCTATCACATCATTTGCCTTTGCCCTCTCGTCTTTCTGCTCTTGCTGTTATTGTTTTCATGCTTAAGTGTTTATGGTTTTGACATGAAAATGTATCCTCCCTCAAACTTTTCCGTTCCTTCCTTTTCTTTATCCTCATTATTTTTATTTTTATTGTTTTTCGCATTTCATTTATATTTAATTTTTCTCTCCTGGTTTGTTTGTGGTATAAAAAGGTGCCGGTGGTCATGTTTTAATGATTATTTTGATTTGAATGAGCTTTTAAAATTTGTTGCTTTGTGTTTTTGAGGAGTTACGAGTCGGAAAATTAGGATATTAAATATTGTTGGCTGATGATTGAATTGTTTAATGATTTTTTGCAGTTAAGGGTCTTGGAATGAGAATGTTTTGGAGAATCTGAGCAGTTGGCTAGAAAAGAAAGTAATAACATGTCGTTAGGTACATAAAACCTAACTGAACTTATTGTTTCTGATACGTTTCTTAGTTATAAGCTGCCAATAACGTTGAAATTGTAAAAAAATTGTCTAGTAAGCAGTTATTCACATATGTACATTAAAATGCTGTCAAGTAGGTTTTCAAACGATAGCTACTAGGCAGATTCCAAATGAATGCTAAGAACCACCGGCTTAGTTCTAAGTTTATAGCTCCATGTCTGCTATTTGGAGAACATTTTAAGTTGCGATCATTATACTTTTTAAAAACCACAAATTTGAGAATGATAGGATTCGAACTGACTAGCTCTTTGCTTTATTACATCATATTTGAGTCAGTAAATTTTCCAACTGCTCCACATTGGCACTTAGCTGCTTAGTATTGATATCAGTAATCGATGGGGTAATAAATAGATAAGAGAATAATTAGATAAACGTTTCAGTATTGCTATATAAAGGTCAACGACAATTTTTGATATATTCTTTATGTCGACATGCTAAATAGTTCAACAGTTTCCATTTTCAACAATGCTTTCTATTTTAAAGCACCAGAAACTCCTCAAACCCGAAAAACCCTCAATCAGCAACATTAAGTCAGACATTCCATGGTTTTATTGGTTTATGTAACTCTTGTAAGTTGTCACAAAACAACAAAATTGTCACCATCAATAACAACATCAACAGAGAGTGTGAAAATCATCATCACACCCCCATCTGCACTTTCATCTTGTATATTTTACCACAGATGAGCAATGAGACATGTAACTCAAGCCAATGTTTTCTTAAATGGAATGACTAATCAAAAGGATATCTTAATAAATTTGTAAGTATCTATGACTATGTGTGCATGTTAAAGGCAGTAAAATTTTGAGATGTCCCTATTGCTATTTTGGGCAATTAATAATTCAAAACAATTTTGCACAAATCTTCCCCTCCGCATCTACGTAACAGAAAACAGAAATAACCACTTTTAAGGCAACTAAAATTTTAGTAGAAATTGTATTTTATTTATATTCATGTCATTTATTATTAAACATTCCATTAAAATTATTTTGCACATGAAAATCATTTCATTTCTCTCCATTTCACTTGCTCATGTGTGATATTGTGTGTATGCTACCATGTATGTTGTGAGGATGATGATGGAATTTGATGTTGTTGAATATTCCAGGCTTCTTTCTTGCTATGCTATGGGAAATAAATAAGGAATGAAATTTTGAATGCCTTGTTTTGAAAATTTTGTATAAGAATTGTTGCTGTCTTAAACTTTTATGGTGACTAGGGATGTTTGTGTAACGGATTTTGATTAGATTTTGAATTGATTATCATGTTAATTAGTTTTAAGTAGGAATTAATTATTTTAGGGTATTGATCGAGTTGTGAGTAATGAACAATCTCAATACTTACGTAAAACTGTTGCATTTTATATCTCAGACATAACCCCCAGCCACCTCATTCAACTCTAATCACAACATAATAATATAAATTAAAAATTTATCATCTGCTAAATTTTATTGCCATAAACCATAAGGACATTAAACTTCAAATAGCATCACGACAAATATTTATTATCACTCGAGAAAAAAAAAAAGTGGCAAGAAATTTTGTTGACTAAAATTTATTGTCGAGAAGAAAATTTTTTATTGGATTTTTTTGCGTCCAGCAACAAGAATCTTTTGGAAACAATGGCAATAATTTGGAAATTTTGTTTCGAGCTGGAGAAGCAACAGAGACAAATTTATTTGGAAAAAGTAGAAGAAATGAAAGAAAATTTTAGCTTCTGTCTTTTTTGGAAAACGATAATTTTTGATCTTGTGGTGAATTTTGGCAGATTTGGTTCTTAATAAAAGGATATTAGGATGCTGCAGAAAAGAACTAGAACGATCTATGACGAATTAATTTAATTTCGTGGTTCTGATTTAAATTATGTTCTGAGGTTGGCTTTTAGCAGAGCTCGAAGTCGACTCGAGTTGTATCCAAGAGTAAAATTATTCAATTAATAATTCTTAAAGGACCAAAATACATCTTTCAACTTACAAACCTATCGTGAACAAGTTATTGCCTTATTTCGATATCATCTATAGCTTTTTTAGCTGCTTTTAACGCTTCAATCATCATTTCTGCATTCTTACGTAATTGTTCATATTTTTTGGACTCTTTAAGTAAATCAACTTCGTTTTCTTTCAATAGTTTGTGTAACAACTCATTTTGCATGTTGTCTTTCATATGATTGATAATTTTGAACATGACGATCTTTGGAATTTGATCTTGAACGGTTTTCTTGACAATTGGAAAGTAGTTATGGATCAGATTATAAATAATCTTTGCTTCTGTTTCAGTTTTTTTGTTCATAAGGTTGCCAGATGTTGTTTCTTTAAAAGTTTCAGTAAAGTTGGTGGTAGGTTTGATGTTAGTTTGCGGTGAACCAAGTGAAAATCCAGACAATTGCTGTTGTGAATTGTTTGGTATGCTGAATTTAAAGTTATTTTGTGTATTCTCGAAAACTGGATAAACAATTGATTCTTCCGGATTAACCATATTTTTGAAAGCATCTTTAATTGAGAAATCTGGATGGTTTGTATTGACTGATGACAATTCAGTATTAATAAGCTCAATAACTGAATTTTGGGCAATTGACAATTGATTATTGACGAGGTTTTTTAGATGAAATTGAATTTTTCTTTCTAAAATTGGAAAACGTTGGAGTTCTTGTTGTTCCTTAATTGTTTCCATTATTATTTTTTCCATTTCATCGTGACTGTTTTGAACACAATCAAGTGATGGTGCACGTAAACGCTCGACATCTATTTTAATGAGCCCCAAAAAAATAAAATCTGTTGAAAAAACGAGTGGTCTCGGACCTCCAAAATTTAGGATGTAATTAACAATTTCTTCCTTGGTCCATTCAGGATTTATATTCTTTAAAGTTGTATTGAACGAATCATCAAAAATTTTACGGTACTTTGGACCACCAATTAAGTTTTGTAAGCCACTAAACTTCTGCATTGTTGTTCCTTCAATAATGGACTCAATTTTTTTGGAAATTTGTGTGACAATTTTGATAATGAACAAATCACGGTCTTTAATTGTTTCTCCACATGATTTACTAGTTCCTTGATATTGTTGAAGTTCTTCATTAATTTCCATTTTTAAGCCTGGAAGACATTTCTTGATATGATGCATAAGTAATTGACTCAACCGTTTAGACAAATAAGGAATGCCATTTTGATGAGCGATTTCCTTGTAATTCTTATTGAAAAACTTTTTCTCGTCTTTTAGCTGCTCATCAATTGTCTTATTATCATTATTATTTTGTTGCGACCTGTTTACAGTCCCAATTATTCCTAACTCAACATTAATACTATTTCCTCTCAAGATCTCCCAAGCATTTGTGCCTTTATCCATAATATCAAGTTTTGTCAATACAGCAAGCGTGCGCAGTCCTTTTGGGTCAACCTGCTTTGCATACTTAATACTTTCACTTGTCGCAAGATCAGCATTTGCTGGACTTACACTTAAAATTATGGAGTTTGGATTCTTTATATATAGCATGATAAGTTCTTTAATTTGAGACTCAATATCTTCTGGCTGATCGCCAACTGGAATCTGTGAAAAATGATTTAAATAAATAACTTTATTTTGCTGCTCAATCATACCTTTGTAATTCCTGGCAAATCCACAAGAGTCAAATTCACAACATGAGGGGAGCAAATTTTCAAATTAATTGTTTTTTTACAAATTCCTTTATTATTCCCAGCCAGTTTATCCGTTTGACATTCAATCTCTTTCCGGATCTCATCAAAATCAGTGAATTTTTTGTCAGGCAAATGCAGGAAAACTCCATACTCCTTAAATTCTGTTGATTCAGTCTCTTCTTTATTTTTTATTAACTGAAGAATTAATGGACAACGCGTTACTATGCCTGATCCACGAGGTAAAAATGGCCGATGAACGATTGATTCCAATACTGAACTTTTTCCCGAACTCTAAGAATTAATTTAAAATGTTGATATCAATAAAAGGTTGTGGAACTGATCTGATCATCAAAAATTATCAAAAAATTATCAGTTGATCAGTTCTGCATACTTGTATTAATCACTAAATATTGCATAGAAATATTTTAAAGCAAAGTTAAAAACTTAAAAGAAATTACACTAAACTAGATTTCGTGACAACTCAATCATTTTTCTTAATTACCTGAGATCCAAGCATCACTATCTGCGGCAATTTAACAAAATTTTTGATTTTTAAAGTATTAAAAATATCCTGAAGCTTATTAATAGCACCAATTAAATCTTCCATAATTAAAATTTTTGATTGCTCCATTTTTTGAAATGATCTTTCTTTTTGTGACTGATAGTTGAACAGCTTTAACGCGACTGACTCTATTTGCGAAGTTTTGAACACTTTTTAAAGTTTCTATTGTACTTTACTATTATTGTTTTGTATTTATTTTAACGACCTCATCATAATTTCAAATACATAATTATATTACGTGCATTTTATGTAAACTGTGATAAAAAAAAACTATAGTAAATATTTAATAATTTTACGATTATTGACAAAAATAGGGGTTCTAAAATCGAACAAATTCCCGTGAATGTTCACTTCTAAGAAACTGTTTCGGTCATTAGTTGTTGTCGTTTTAGAACAAGAATTATTCCCCTGGAAATTTCATAAAAAAAAACTTCAAAAACTCAAAAATAAATTGAAATGATTTATTGAAGCTATCATTTTTGTCAAACTACAGTTTATTATCAGTTTATTGTGTTTTATAGAGAAACACGTGCAAAGGTGTGTAAGTAAGATAATCAGCTTATTCAGATAGTAAGATCATAGTTGTTATAAATCTTAAACAACTACAAAGTTCAGAATATCAATGCCTTACATTTTCTCAAAACTTATCAAATTTAAATCTGCATTCTAATCTCATTAATTGCTTCTTGAGCTGCTTTTAATGCCTGAATCATAACTTTAGCATTTTGACGACGATTCTCATTTTCTTCGGACTCTTGAAGTAGATTGACATCAGTTTCATTCAGCAAATTGTTAAGTAGCTCATTCTGAATGTTATTTTTCATATGATTTATAACTTTATACATAATAATTTTAGGAACTTGATCTTGTACAGTTTGCTTAACGATTGGGAAGTAATTTTCAACAAGACAGAACAAAATTTCAGCATTTTTTTCTGTTTTAAGATTCAATAAAAGATTAGCTGTTTTGCCATTTTCTGATCCTTTGTTCTGTTTAATTGCATTTTCAATAGAGAAATCTGGATGATTAGTATTGATACATGATAGCTCAATATTAATCAATTCGTTTACTTGTTCCTTTGCTATTGGTAAACGATCTTTAAGGAATTGCTTTAAATGAAAGTGAATCTTTTTTCCCAAAATTGGAAATCGAACTAGTTGCTCTTGATCTTGAACGACCTTAGAAATTACATTTTCCATTTCATCGTGGCTATTTTGAACACATTCCATTGATGGATTACGTAACTTTTCAATTTGCTCATTGACAAGCTTTTCGAAGATACTTTCGGATGCAAAAACTGCTGGTCTTGGACCTCCATGATTTAAAAGACATTGAAGAATATCAGAAGTGGACTTGTCAGGCTTTATACTCTTTAGAGCTTTGCCAAATGTCTCATCGAAGATTTTTCGAATTTTTGGTCCACCTACTAGATTCTTTGCATCTTTTAACATATTTAGATTCAATCCGTCGATTAACTCACTCATCTTTTTCATTATTTCTGTCACTATCATCATAATAAATATGTTTTTATCCTTTATTTCTTGTCCACATAGTTCATAATTCTTTATGTGTTGATTTAACTTTTCATCAACTTCTATTTTTAAGTCTGGAAGGCTATCTTGAATGTGATTCATAAGAAGTTGACTCAAACGTTTTGATAAGTAAGAGATGCCATTTTGATGGGCAGCATCATTATAGTTCTTTTCAAAAAATTCTTTTTCATCCTCTATTTGCTGATTAATGGTTTTATTATCATTAATATCTTGCTGTGATCGATTAACAGTTCCAATTATGCCCAATTTAATATGAATATCCTTTCCAGATAAAATTTCGTTTGCATCGGTTCCTTTATCCATTAAATCTAGTTTTGTCAGGACTGAAAGTGTCCGTAAGCCATTAGGATCGACTAGCTTTGCATACTTGATACTTTCACTTGTTGCAAGATCAGAGTTTGCAGCGCTAACACTTAAGATGATTGAATTTGTATTCTTGATGTAAAGCATGATTAGCTTTTTAATTTGAGCTTCGATGTCTTGTGGTTGATCGCCTACAGGAACCTGTCAATAATAAATCAAATTAGTCAGTTGTTAAGCTTAACACTGAGTTTTTCTTACCTTAGTAATTCCCGGTAAATCCACTAGTGTTAAGTCCACAACATAAGGTGAATAAATCTTCAAATTAATCGGCTCATGACAAATTCCTTTATTTCGTCCAGCAAGTTCGTCTGTTCGTCTTTCAATTTCTTTTCGAATTTCATCAAAGTCCGTAAATTTTCTCTTTGGCAAATGCAAGAACTCGCCCCATTCTGTAGCTACCTCATCATCATAGCCAGCATCATTTCCTTTATGTTCGATAAGTTGTAAAACAAGTGGACATCGTGTGACAATACCTGATCCACGAGGCAGAAATGGTCGATGAACAATTGATTCCAAAACGGAACTTTTGCCGCAACTCTGAAATATTTAATTTGGTTATTGATTGTCATTTAATCATTTTTTAGACCTTTATATCAGCTTTAATCTATGGCTAATTTGGTTGAATCAATATATAACTAAGGTTATCCAAAGTATGACTCATCTGAATTTATAACTAAAGTTATCCCCAACATTATATCGAGCGAAAGTGAACATATGCAATGTTTATTAATTTAATATTATAGATCCTCCTCCTACCCCCCCCCCCCCCCCCCCCCCTCATCTCCAATAGAACATACAGTTCCTTGTATCAAAATCAATACCTGAGAACCAAGCATCACAATCTGCGGTAATTTAATTGAATTCGTGACTTTCAGCGTGTTGAAAATGTCTTGCATCTTATTGATGGCACCAATTAAGTTAGTCATCATGTTCGGCACTTTTGGAGATTCCATAACTAATCAACTCAAATTTTTTGAGTACTTAAAATTTCCAAAAAATAAACTTTTTTACTTCACAGCTCAAATATAACTGCTTAAGGATTAAATACTGACGCCGTTTTTTGCGTGTTTGTTAAAATTTGTTATAACATTATCGCAAGTTTGATATATGCGTAGGACGTAGGCAGGAGGAATTAAGAGGACAAATCTTCTCTACTGGCTGACAATTTCGTTTTTGAAGAAAAAAAAATTACAGAAGTCCTCGCGCTATTGATCGAGAGACTTAAGCGAATTTTTGTGTTATCGATAGGTATTTGATTATCTAATTATTTTGCATTCACTTACAGATCATGAGAAGATTAGAAGTTCATTAATTTAAGTGTAATTAACAAATAATTACAATGAATTTCCATATAGTAAGGCTTTATCATTTAACGGTTTTTTGAAATTCAAATTTTACAACGGCTAGAAAAAAATTTGAAATTATAGAGGTAAAACAAAATTTGGGCAGGTTACACTGAAAAAAAAATAAAAATCATTAATTTTAGTATAAATACACTGTTTCAAAACTTTTAACCACTCGATGAGCCGATAAATCGATAGTAACGGAGCTAATAAAACAAACCCGAGCTCTCTACGATGTCTGGTCAATAAGTTTTTCTTCGCCCGAGCAGCCGAACAGCCGAACAAAGTGTATTATTAAGCTACCTTTTAGAAACAAGTTTCAAAAATGCGATAAAAAACCAAAAAAATTGAAAATATTCCCTGGAGTCCCTAAGTGTAGTGATACGAAAGTAAAACTCACCACCTGCCATGAAGGTGCTTTCTGAAGGCGCCAATGCTAATGCGCCACAATTCAGCTAACGAGAGGGAAATTTCCATTTTTCTTACGGTTTATTTTCGTGCTCAAACCTAGACTGGACTTAGACTTACTAAGGGGCAACGTGTCATAATTATTAAATTAATATAAATGGCTGCAATAAGCCAATATCTAACTCAACTGTTTAAAATTCTTATAGAAATGTTTTTAATATCAATCATGTACTCACTTTTTATGTTTCTGAATACCTTTTGGTAATAAATTATATACTTACTTACTTACTATCGATAAATATCTGACTACACCCCTTAAACATTGTTATACGAATTTGTATAACAGTTAGCAAACACACACTAATTGAATGTTATAACATGTTATAAGAATATAACCAAGAAAATAAAATTATACTCTTTAGTGACTAATCTGATATTGTCCTTCATAAATAACGTCACACGAAGGAGATGAGGGGGGGGGGGGGGGGAGGGGTAAAGAGCTATAGAAACATTCGTCATTTATGAACGATCACTAAAGTGGTTTATTCATAAAATTATGTTATCTCGTATTTTGATAAGAATGAACGCTATTAATCAGGCTTATCTGATAAGCTATTGCAAAATTTTGGTGACGTGGTAAGGCACTATATATCATTAAAAGCTAAAGATAGAGTTACTTTATTCTTCGTCATTCTTAAATTTAAACTGAGAATGGAATTGACAAATGATAAGCATTCAGTGAAAGAGACGGTTTCAAGGGACATCTAAAGAAGTTCATTGATTACAATTGACCTTTTCGGCTATCAAAATAAATAAATCAGTTCCTATCATTCTGACTAAATCTTATTCAAGGATCTCTAAATTCTAACTCCATAAATGAATGAGTAAATGTCTCTGCTCTGTTTCAACAACACAGATACACACAAAACTAAAAATTGTTCAAATGTCGAGAAGAAAGATAAAAGAATAAATTAATTTTTAATTTCACAATTTTAATTATTCAAGGCAATTCCGTAGCAAACATCCTCAGTTATTTTCTCAGCTATGCACCAACACTTTCAACTTCACATAACAGCAAATAAATTTCATTGCTCATGATTTATTAATCTATGAGAAGAGGAGATATCGCCACAAAATCCACAAAGCAGCAAACACCAAAAATTTTTATATACGTATAAACATTTAATCGTTTCAGACTGGATGCAGAGATGCTGACTTGCTACTTGCTTTTCTTCACTCAATCTCTGTGCATCTCATTCTCATTTATTCAGTCTTTTATTCTGCATATTCATTCATTTAGGGTTTTTTATAAAGTTGGAAAAGTGGAAAGGAATTTTTGTTTTATTCATTGCATTTTTGGTGCTGTTGTGCTTAGTGGGAATGGAGTGAAATCTTTAGAAGTTTTTGAAGATTCATTAATTGTTAATGTGAATTGAGAGAAAAATATTTTTGATGTGGTGTTGTTTAGAATTTTCAATAGATTTTTTTTTGGGAAATCTTTGAGGTTATATTAATGCAGGGCTACTTAACCTATGTTCCACGGTTTACTATTGTGTTGAGGTATCGAAAGTTAATCACAAAAGATAGTAAACATCGAAAAATAGCCAAAAATTATGTAAAGTCACGATATGAAAAGTACCAACTGTAGTGAAGGCAAGGGGGAAACAACATGATGGGAAAAAATTATAGAAAATTCTAAAAGACGAAACCAAATTAGATTTTGCAAGGATTATTTGGCAAGAGCAGAGTCGGTTTTTTTACACAATCTTAGTCAAAAACTCTTCCACATCTTGCTGTTTCCTCCTTACATAACCCTTAATTCTTCTCATTTATTCAATAAAAAGACTACACCGTCATATAATCAAATGAAATAGAGCTCACACACTTGTAGAGATAAAGATTCATATTTAATGTAAATAAAGCTCTTATAATGCTCACTTCCCCTATTTTAAAATTGCGCTGTTTTTATTCGAATGCTGCCGCTGCCTCGAATGTGAACAAAAAAGGTGTCTTAAGCCAATTTTTCCGCTTGTGATTTCATTCACAAAAAATAAAATGCTGGCTGTGAATGTGAGACATGCAGCAGCATACATAGTTAAGTGAAAATTACAACATGAACATCGCATATCACCTACCTGATGCATACAACGGTTTTCTATTTCCATTCATTCATTTATCTATCCATCCATCCATCGTCGTCGTAGTCATGCTTTTATTATTCATTTACTGACTACTGAGTGAGTGTTGACTGAATTTTTATTCGTTCCTCTTTTTCTTACATTTTATGAATGCTCAAGGGATGATAACCTTTATGGTGCTTTTGAATTTTGAAAGAATTGTGATAATTTTTAAGATTCCTGATTTTATAAAGACTAGATGTTCATAAATGAAGTCTTAACTTTTGAGGAGGAGTGATGTGCACCACTTCCATATAAAAGACGTCATTTAAGAACTACCTCAAGACTAATTTCAAGTCTCATAATCAGCAATCATATAAACTTCACTTCTAGGTACCCATCCCTTGGACCAGAATCTCCATTCGGAATGAGATTTGTCGTCTAAAAATGTTGGGCACACAAAAATCAATAAATATGATAGAAATTATTTTTCTATGCACCCTCCACCCTTTTAGTCGAGACGATAGACGGGAATTTATTTATGCAATGGAATGCAATCCTTCATCATTTACTGACTGCTTGCATGCTATAAACCATTGTTAATGCCCTAAGTTTAAATCTCCATTCATGTGGCAAATGTTGTGCGACAATGACTTGTATATATAATCATCATTGGCACTTATGAGTGAGTAAGGTTGAGCAAAGTGTGTGTGGAATTTTTTTATTGCATTTGCTGGAAGTTATGCTGATGAAACAGATGTGTGGGCAACGACTCAAGTTACTGATTATTAACTCTTGACTTAAAAAAATTAAAAAGTAGAGCTGACAAACTCCAAGTGCTGAATTAGATCCTCTTGTTTCCCTCTAAAGCAAAAAAGCAAGTAAGTTTACTTTTGCAAAGGGATAGAAGCTATTAGAGATTATTAGAACTTCATTATATTTTCGGTGCCAATTTTTGTTTCCAGTGGTTGGAAACCACAAAAACCTAGTTCCAAAGTTGACAATAAAAGTCATGCAATCTTCACAAAAGTACCCGAGCTGTGAAATGTATTGGAAATATTTTTAAAAAGCCACTCGACATCTATTGACTGTTTTCATCATTATTATCGTAATCACGATAATATGTGCAACGGCAAAAATGTCAATAGAGCGTTGACGGAAAATATGAAGCACAAAAAATATGTGTGCATGAATGTCTTTTGTCACTTCACTTAAACTGTGTTTCGTCATTTTGTTCCTTCACTCCACGTCTAAATGCTCATGTGGTAAAATATAAATTCATTCAATTTATGAGCCAAAACGCTCTCTAAATGGAAATCAATGAGCAATGGAAGTGAACGCAAAATTATGGGTAATTTATGCCAATAAGGAGAATAAATCAACAGTTTATGGCTTCGGGGTGAGAATTAATGTGGTTACTTACTGTTATTATTCTCATTTGATGTTCCTGGGAGGATGGAGGAGGAGCTGGAAGATGAAATGTCATTAAGTGGATGAATTGAAGTCATTTTCGGTGGTTTGGTGAATGACTTTGTGGAAATTTGAGGCTATTAGGTGTTAAATTGACTGAAAAATTGTTACTTCAAATTTTTTTTGGTGTGGGGATTATTCACTTATGACGTTCATAATTAAGAAAAATTGGTAGTGAATTGTCAAATGTTAAATGCTTTAATGATGAAACTTGGCTTCGAGGGTTCAGATCCAATTTTTAAAATCATATCTTCTGATCGACTTAACCAGTAAATGACTCCTGTTTCAAGTTTCTCAACACAAAACCCCTGAAAATTCTTTGTAAAATAAAAAAATTTCAAATTTTTGTAATTATTGAATAATTTTATTTTACTTCTTTATTTTCATTACTTTGTAATCATTTCGTCGTCGTGGATTTAATAAATTTCAATTTTATTTTGATTTTTCATCCTTTATGCAATTTCATGCATCATTACTTACACGTTAAGGTTTGTTTCCTCGTTTAATTTATTCTAAAAAATTTCTCATTAATAAATTGGTTTCACATTATTAATAATTAATGTTCATAATGATGATAATAATGTTATAATAATTAATTAGGGCAATTTTTTGGTATTTTAAATCATTTTTATAATTTCTACATATGGATTAACAATTAAAATACATTTAAATTATTATAGCTTTTTTCAGCTTTTGTAGTGAAGGTTGAAGGTTGGAAATGATGTTTTGTAATATTCTAGTTGAAGGTTTTAGACATCTGAGATAGGTCTGAAAATAAGTCACTGTCTTAAGATTCAAGATTAATTTTTTTGTAGTTTGTAGCATGAGTGTAGCTTAGAAATCGATCGAATGCTTGCGCTTATATTAAAGTTATCTCTAGAACTTAAAAACCCATTGCAGTTCACATGATTTAATTCAAAACTACGCAGTTGAATGTACGGATGTGGAATCCAGCCAAAGTTCAACTAAATAAACCTCCAAAAAATTCACTTGACGATACCTGGATCTGGACTTTGTCTCATTTAATTTATTTTCGTTAAATTTATACTTTAAATCTTTTCCTTATTAGATTTTTCTTCATTATTTATTTTAATTCGAATGTGTGAATGAAGCGGAAACAAGAAACAGATAAATTTATTCTAAAATTCATCCTGTTTTAGATTAGATTAAGTAGCTTTGATCCAGGGATTGTTTAAGTGTTTCAGCTCGTTTGGAAAAAATCATTGATGATTTAAATAATTTAAAAAATTTATGATGTACAGAACTAGTAGCTAGAGGAACTAAAATGAGCTAAAAATACGCTGTTTGAGACTGTTGGTAATCAAGAGAGTAGCTTGAATTGGAAGCAGGCGCATAGCCAGGGGGGGGGGGGGAGGGGGTTTGGGGGACAAATCTCCCAACGTAAACTTCTTTATTTTGCTAGTGTTTTTATGAAAAAATCACAAAAATACCCCCCCCCCCCCTTAAATTTTTCCATACAAATAATTTTTTTGTCCCCCCTCTTCAAATTCCTGACTACGCCCCTGATGTGGAGGGGTCTTTTAAAATTTAGAATTGTTGCAGGGGCGTTGACAGACTCTATGGCTATGGTCCTAGTCTACGAATCTGCTTTTAAAGACTTGCCTCGGTCAATTAATCGCTATTGAGCAATTTTTGCCATTTTTACTGAACAGCACTAGTTTTAAATAACACACTTGCTGCCATAAACCTTCAAAATGAGCTGTAAAGCAGTCTTAGCCGTCAAATAATTTTAACATCATTTCCAACATCTAAAACCCTCTCATTCAAATCAATCAGTACTTAGACCATAAAAACAGTAGAAACTATCTATATAAAATATTCTTAAAAATCATTTACTTCACTTTAAGTTAGCACAACATGGCATTTCCATTCAAGAAGTTTTCAAATATAATACAACATTTCATAAGAAATAATTGAGATAATAATCATAATAACAGCTAACCTTACTAAGTTCTGGTAAGCAGTTAAGTTTAAATAACTTAATTTTATTTTCATTTCTATTACTTTTTTTGGATGAGAAGCAGCTGTTGAATAAAACAGCAGGAAAATTGCAAATACAGTGTAATAATATTAACAGGAGTATGCATACTCTATTAACTTAATAATTTGGCAAATATATAAACCAGCAGAGCTTCTTTTTTATAGAAACAATCACAAGAAAAATTTTTATTTTAAATGATAATTCAGAATGCAGGAAGTAAGTAATTTAATAATGATTATTATTAGGTGTGAATTTTTGCGTGAGTGGCAGTCGGCTATTTTTTAAGGGAAATATTATTATTGGATATAATTCGGAGAATTATTGTATAAAGTAACATACACTTAATAGATAAATTTATGAGGAACTTTTGCAGTTGTTTTGGTGAAATATTTAAACCGCACAGAGATCAAAGACTTGTCCCTGGATTTATGGGAAGTTTTACGATTTTATTTGAATTTTATACAGTCAAATTTATTATATTTTTAGGTTTTGGCTCAACATTTTGTGCTGAATTATGCAGATTCTGTGAATTTTTCATTAATATAGAATGACTTAAATTTTATAATCTAAAACATTATCTCTGGATCATTCAAAATCTAGTACATTGTCCCTAGATCATTCAAAATCTAGTACAATATCTCAAGATCATCCAAAATTTAGTACATTATTCTAGTTTATTTAAAATCTAGGACATTATTATTGTCCATTCAAAATCTAGTACCCAATTCTAGTTTTCTCAAATTCTGTCCATTTCGGTCTTTTAAAACTTCTATTGAAATTTTAATCTAGACTCTACAACAATAAAGTACTAGAACAAGGTACTCTAGATTTTATAGAAACCTAGTACTTAAAATAATCTTGAATCATCAACTAATTTGAATTGTTTGTTTGGTTCTCGAACAAATTTTTCTTAATTATATTTTAAAAGTAAAAGACACTTCCCAAAGTAATAGATTTTGAATAATTAATATAAAATAGACTAGATTCTTGAAATTAAGTAGGAGATTTTTACAATTAAGTAGAAGATTTTTAAAGCTAAGTACTAGATTTTTATTAATGAAATACCAATTTATAAATTAATTAAATTCCGAGATTCTACAGATTTCAAAGTTATATTGAATTTAAAAGTTGATAAAGACTGGACATAATTATTTATAATCATAATTAAGTTCGTGGAGGTTTTTAGAGAGAAATCAGTCTTAATTAAGATAATATCTTGGCATAAACATCTCAAATTAGCTGCATAATGCAATAGCTTTATTAAATTAAATAGATTTTAATTAATAAATTGCAAATAATAAAGATTTGAACAAAACTTGCAAATTTCAAGACAACTAAACCTTTAAAAATATTGCCAACCTTTAAAATCACAAAAAAGCTAGATTTCTATTCATAAACTCTGCTAAAATTACTGTCCCTTAATTAGCGTCATAAAAAGCCTTTATTAATAAAATGTTGGCAAACCTTAATATTCACCGAAATGACAACAAAAGTTTATGACATTTAATCAAGATTACAAATCACTCGAATCTGCGTTCTACTTTCCGTTGACAATTTCAATTCCCATTTCTCTAATTAAACCGTCTGCCATTCTCACAAAAAGAAAACAAAAAAAAAATTCTGCAAATAATATTGTAACACATTGTAATTTAATCGAGAAATAATGGCACTTGATATTTGCCAGAAAAATTAATGTTATTAATTAATTCGTTAATTATTATATGAGAAATTCTCTTTCTTCTTTGACTCATAAATCCCAAAGACCAAATTGGCATGCAGCAAAGAAGCTAGTGAAATGAAGATTTACGTTTATAAATTGTAAATTAATTATAAAATTTCTGGATGCGCACTAGCAAAATCGACCGGAAGACATTAAGTGCTATTAAAAAAAATAATTTTTTTTTCTTACTTTGAATCTTCATCGACTTTTTTTTCACTTTATTTAAATTACATTTTCATTTCTTCACTTTTGGTCAATTATGTTTTTCCTCACTTTTCACATTTTTCTTTTTTTTTGCCTCTTTTTTCATCTCTCCATGTGCTTAGGTCGTAAATTTTATTTGAGTTTTTCTTCTTCTTTCCCATTTCATTCTCCCCTCATCTCGTGCATTTATTACGTGTGTAGAGTATGTTTATTTAGTGGGATCTTCTGTGAAATTAATATGATGATATTTTAATACTCTTTGCGTTTTTTTCTTTCTTTTCTCTTTTTTCTGTTTTTTTCACCTTTTTATTTTGGTTTTGCTTTTCTTTTGATTAAGAAGCGGAAAGGAATTTTGAATGTTTCTGGTGTAGTCTTGCATGAGGAAAATCTCTTTTTAATTTGCATCTTGTGAGGTTTTGTTGCTTATAAAATGAATGGTGAAGGTTTGTTTTGATTTGGTATTACTAATTTGTCTGTGATGCTGGTTTTGTATTGCTTAGTTTTGATTGAATACTAATATTGATTCTTGACATTCTTATTTTTTGTCTTTTTCAAAATAAAAAGTATGGAACCTACACTGAATGAAGGCAACGTTTGCAAAAATTAGTTTGCAAAGAAGCTTTACTTTAGAACATTGTTGTCCAAACTTTTTTGAGCCACAGCACACCTTAGGGGTAAGCCATTACCAAAGTCGCACACAGTATACGGTCTTGTACAAAAAATTTCTACGGCACACCAGTGTGGCGCGGCACACAGTTAGGATAGCACTGGTTTAGAACCTTAAAGAGAAAATTATCAAATTCTGATAAAACTTGGATAACACCTGACTTAAGTTAATCTGATACAATTATAACCAATAAGTTTAAGAGATCTGCTTAAAATTAAGCTTTAAAATTGTAAATTTAAGAAACTGGGCAAAGATTAATCTTGAAACAATAATCTAGACCCAATGTTAGCAACCGAAATTTTCGAGCATCTTATTATTTGAACTTCGAATTTTCGAGCTTCTTTGTTTTCGAATTTCAAATCTTCGAATCAGATCTAGACTTTGTTTTAGTAACCTACTAAACGTATTTCACTAAATCTTCATTACAAAAAACTTTAATAAAATCAAACTTTCCCTCAAAGCAAGAATCATAAAACAATCAACTTTTTCCGCTTCCTTATTCTTCTTCATTTTCTTCCCTTAGCAAAAAAAAACTTTTACGCATCTAGTGAAAGTAATTTATTCCTTACTAAACTACTTTTTATATTTTCACTATACAGTTTTATTTTTATTTTCAATCATATGAAATTCAATTAAGTTTGAGAAAATTGAAAAACTAAAAGAATTAATTTTTCTTTTCCCAAAGTCATTAACCTGTTCGAAGAACTTTGTTTTGTTATTTCTTGTGATTTTTACAATTTTATTTTATGCTTTATGAAAATAATACAGTTTTGTTTCATTTTTGCTATATTTTAGTTTAGTTTTCTTAAAAAAGGAATTCTTACAAACTAGAAAAAATTTATGTTTTCTTTTCCTTTTAACATGCAATACAGTTTATTCCTTTCTTTACTATATATATCCTAATGGTTTATTGACAATAGCATATATAGAATTATATATTTTACTATCGTGAAAGCTGCATTTGTCTTACTTTATATTTATAGAAGATATATATATTTTTATTGTAACGAACAAACTTTTAACGACCTTTACAATAGAAATTTAATTAGTCGAGAATAGACTAAAGTTTCATGTTTGTTTGTGTCATTAAATGATTAATTGGTGGAGATAATTTAGTTTGCTTTTGAAATGGAAATTTTTTTGAATGAAAAAGTTGTTTTTGAAGGAAAAAATTAAAATTTATAGTTTTTGATGCTTGTTTACATTGAAAATTCTTTTCAATAAGCAGATGTAGTTAAATTTATTTTTTTGTGGTTTATATAAATTTTTTGCATTTGATGGAGTTCAGAACAGCAAATTTGCACATTTGATAGACTTGAGAAATATTCTTTATCTTGAGTTCTTTATTAATTGGTTTTCGAATGCAATCCTATTTGCCATTTTCTTTTTAAGCCACTTTAATTTTAATTACAATTCTTATTAAGCTGCTGGGTTTGAGCATAATGGAAGCTGGGGTGTCGAGCTATATATATATAGTCGATTTTGCCAGTGCAAGATTAAGGCCTCGGTTGAAGATTGGCTGGGCAAAAGAACGGGTATCTATAACCCTCTTTTGTGAGGCGTGGGTTCGATTCCTACCAGAGATCCGATCTCTCAAACCATTTCATAGAGATTTGTCGATATGACAAGAATGAAAAATATGATAATTATGAAAGTCTTGGACTTTAAAACCCTCATACGCGCACAAACCATCGACAACTTGACATTTTTTGTAAATTTTAAAACCATCTGAAAATGGTCTTAATGGATAGCTTTACGCACTGCTTGATTTTATTATTTTTAAAAACCTAGAAAATTTTCAATCGAGAGGATTGATTTGACTTTGTCTTGAGCTTCATCTGCTGATAAATATAATAATATTTGAGTTTTGAGGTTCCAGTGGCACAGTTTCTTCTCCAAAACTCTTCATTTAAAATCATTCCATTTCAAATTATCAAAATATTTAAGTATGAAATATTTTACACAACAATTTTACAAATTAAGTAGATTATTCTATTAAAATTCTTGAGTGAATTTTTAATTTTAATTCTTTTTTGTTTATAAGCTCACTTAGTAAATGATTATTATTTAAAGGAATGTCAAGTTTTTGATTCATGTCTAATGGAAGATAATCTGGCATATAAAATACTCAAAGATCAAGAATCAAAAAATTAACATTTCTTAGATATTTTTTCTATTTTTCATACATTTTTTTGATATTTAACTATGAAAAATTCTTGGTTTTTCTTGTATTTTAAGATTCATTTAATCTACAAAAAAATGTTCTTTAATTCCCTAAATTGTATAACTTTTCCTTTATATTCTTTACAGCTATTTATAAGAACTTTAATAATTTTTTTTATACATACAATATCATCATCATATTGATTACAAGATGTGCCTTACTAAAGTAACACAAAATACTGTTTTCGCTGTCATTTTAATGATATTCCTCCTTCACCTGTCGCTTCAACCGTCCGCATTAAATACACACATATCTTAACAACATGAAAAAGATTTTTAATCTTCTTACTGTGTTGGCATTGCTGCTCCATTAGCCATTGACAAGGCTAAGGCACTTGCCAGATTAGGATTTGCGTTTGTATCCTGTCAAAAAAAATAGGAAGAACATTTGTTGGAATTATTACGATGTTACATAAATAAAACGGGTAGAAGGCTGCTAAATTGCTAAGGTAGAGCCGTCTGTATTGTCAGTTTGTCATCCAAATAGCTACAACTTAATTAAATTCGTTGCTGCAATTCTCCCTTGGCAATCCAAACTTCAATGCCGCTCAGTGAGGGATGTCAAATAGTGAACATATCATCAATATTCTCCCCCTTGACACCTCCCAACCTTCCAAAAACAAATCAAAGACAAAATTAAAGTTGAACTTACAATACTTAATGCTCTCATTATGCACGCTCGTGGTAACGTGTCCATTCCAATATCCTTATCTGATGGTGATGTGCTACGTGACGAGGAAGACAACATTAAATCATTTGGCGATAGATCAGAGCTCAACTTTCCATTTATATTCGATGAATCTAGGCCATTAGTGTCTATTATCAATTCATTATCGGTGGATGATTCAGTGAGTAAAAGCTCATTTGTGGGTGATGATGAATGGCTATTTTTCTTATCATTTAATTCCATTTCCTAAATACGAACAAAATAAATAAGATGAAGGAAAAAGTTTGGATAAATGAGAGGAAATGAGATAAACATGTATGGAAATTTAATTTAATTTCTACGGAATTAATTATGCGATTTTTATGAATGGTATTTCAATATCCTTAATTTCCTCATCTTTCAATAACAACAAGCATCCCCATAAGAATCTTATCTCCCACCACAATCATAAGACGAAGACGAATAAGAAGGAAAAGTCATTAAGGAAATGTGAAGGGAAAAAGTCAACAAGACGAAGGAAGGAAGGAAAAAGGAGCAACAAACTTTCAACTATCATATTACAGTAATCTCTCATGATACATACGTAACTATTTTGTGTATACTTTTTTTTTCTTCTCTCTTACTTTTAATGCTCTTTCGACATGTAATGTTAAATTTATTGGCATTGTTCTGTCTGACTATGGGGGTGGAATTGGATGGGTTGGATGAGTTTGAGACAGGAATTTTTATGTAAAAGTTAACGACTGCTTTATGTGAATTGGTTGTTATAGCTTGGTTGAAGATTCTAGTTGACTTAATGTTGACTAATACTTTTGTTTGTTTAAACAGCTGGATATGCTTCTACTAAGAACTAGCTTTGTGCTTACTAAGAACTAGCTTTCAATTATGAACTCCCTATCATCTACTAAGAACTAGCTTTATACTAAAAACTAGGCATCTTCTAAAGATTAGGTATCTCCTAGGAACTAGGTTTTAACTATAAACTTGCTATCTACCAGGAACTAGGTATTTACTAGGACCATGGACCATGCTTAATTCTCTGAATTTAAACAATCCCCTTCCTCTTTTCTAGCACGAATGCGTTCTCAACCCAACATCCCTCATTAATTCCTCAACCACAACTGTCTGTAACATTGAAATCTCAAATGTTGATTCCTTCATCATGCATTATCGTCAACATCATCCTCGTCATTCGTTGTCGCCAACAATATAACAATGTGTATATCCGCAGCAACAAAATTGTAACGCATGTAAAAGTTTACTGTTTGCATTAAAATTTCCTCACTCAACATCATCAACAATATAAAGTCAATCTGTATATGAACGAAGCTAATCAATTTCATTGCTTTTCATTAATTTTGCATGATTTTTCGATGATGGCACTTTCATGAGCATTCTCTCATGTCCCCCTCCGACTGTATATATGTGGCTTAAATAAATTTGTCCGTTCAGTCTGTCATGTATGCTGAATATTCATCGAATTCTCATTGAGAATGGATAAAAATCACTTGATATCGGGTGGTAGTCAGAGGATTTAATTTTATTGTGTATGTGTTCGTCTCACTATCGACCGACTTTTCTAGAGGCGAACCGAAAATACACAAAAACTGTCTCTATAGATAAAGTTTTTTTTTGATGCCGAGCTACTCACTCTCCTTCATGCTGTTTTGTTCATAATATTGATGATAGGATTATAAATTCAGTTATATGTATGTGAAAAATATTTGTAGAATGTAGATTAAAAAGTTATTTAAAGTTTTTTTTTGCATCAGACATGTCAACTTCAGTAATTGTTATGAGTCATGTATTGAAATTTGATGGCTTTGGCAGAGGATTAAAAATTGGAAAACGAAGAGAAGTAGGGGATTGGAAAATATTGAAAAAGTTTTTCTGTGTTTCTGTGCTTGATTTTTAAGAGGTAGGAATAAAAAAATGTGGTAAGTAATAGAGACATGATGGGTTCAAGGATACAGCGCATTTTTAAGTTATCCCGGGAAACTATAGGCAATTTAGAAAAACCTTGAAAACCAGCTCAAGATGCTCTTTAAAAATTTATTTCAACTTATTTCTACAGACCAGCAGACAAACATACATAAAACAAACGCCACACCACCCTCAAAAATTCCTACACTTCAGAAATTATTGCATCTCCAAAAACAATATTCACATATTTTCCTTCAAGCATTAAAACGCAAGTAGAGCGGAAAAGCAGCAACCGAAAAAAATGTTTTTTGATTCTTTCTCAGTGGAAATAATCATAAGCGATTTTGTACCCCCACCTTACTTCTCCCTCTTGTTGCTGTATTATTTACTTTATGCCTGTTTCATGGAAGATTCGCTCTCTTTTCATTATTTTATGATTTCATGAATTTTTTCTTGCTATCCTTTTAGCATTTTTTCAGTGATATAAATCTTTATATTCATGAATATTCACATTTAATGAAAAATAATAAGCGAAAAGTGCCATTAAAAATAAATAAATTAAAAAAATTTGTAGGGAAGAACGAATGAGTCAGAATGAGAAGAAGATGTTAAGTGCAAAGAAATGAGATATGACTGAATAGGGAACAATTTGCTGAGAAGAAAGGGGTGCAATTTAATGCACAGAAGAAGGATTGAATTAAAATTTTGATTCGGAGGTTTCTAAAGATTTGTTTGTATTTTATTTGGGGATTTTAGTATTGCTTTGGTCACATAGAATTGTTGATGATGATTAGGTAAAGTCTTAAAGAGCTGGGCTTATGATATTCTTGTTAGCAATGAAAGAATGTGTTCATTTATGTGACCCTTGTATGGCTTTGATTGGTTAACTAGCTTTTAACTGATTTTAATTTACCGAACCTTCATATGAATTAATAGTATGTAGTGTCAAGCTTTCAATCTTCAAATCTAGGTTTCAAATAAATTAAGGCTTTCGTTTTGATCTTCTGTGAGTGTGACGTGATACATTCAGGTCCGTTCCGACAATATTCTATTTGTGGATAATCTTGTAGCTCTAGTTCCTTTTTCTCCCGCTACACTTCATGTTCTTGACCCGTTCCTTAATCCAACGTTGCTCAAATGCCCAATTATGGCTTGATATCCTACATTAAGCAGTCGAAGTATCTAAACTTCCGAAAAAGAACAAATTTGGAAATGGCTGGATTCGAACCGACGACCTTCGAGTTACTATCCCAAATTTGAGCCAAGCACCTTACCTATTCGACCAGCAAGGCACTTAACTGCTACAAATTGTATTAAAGTTAAAGTCTGATTATAATAGCTAATTCTGAAAACTGTTGATTCTCTGTAAGAATATCGATCAAAAAATTTCAACTTTAAAGATTTTTCAGAACATTATGAAATCTTCCCAGTAAAGTTTTTATACCCAACGTCCTCTTTTCCTCACTCACCCTATCTTCATCCCTATTCATTTCATTCCATTTTATTTCATTTTTCTTTATCATTTAATTTTTTCCGGGCGCATTAATTTTCATTCATGATTTCTGTTTTGTTTGTTGAATCTGTTGCTACAAAAATGCTCTTTCCGTTTCCATTTCTTTATTATTTCCTCGGCGCTATCTCTCAATTTCATTTGTGTGGCCCATCCATTTCGCAAACCAGAGAACTTTAAATGAAAAATATTTTTTCAGCCATGACAAAATCCCATTATTAGAATGAAATGCACATCCATAAAAACCACCACAATGAAAAATATTTTCAAGAAAAGGAACTTACTGTGTGCAATGTTATGCCATTACATGAGGATCCATTCATATTATTGTGGCTTTCACCATTAGCCTTATCTAATTTATTGCCGTTACCATCACTGTTGCTTGCCATAACCACATCATCCTCCTCATCTGATTCCCCAATTTCATAAATATTCACCATATGTGCTGCCTGTGCATGAACCATCAAATCCCATGGATTCATGAACGAGTCCTTACACACCACACATAGTAATTTTGATGATGGATACATGCTTTCTGTAAGAAAATGAAAATGGAAACTTGTAAGAAACTTTTCTTTCTTATGAATATACCAAAAAAAAGTGATGCTTACTATTTACAATTGTTGGTAGTTGATCCTGACATTTACATGTAAATCTCAGCTTACAATATGACCTTTTATGATCTAATAAATCACTTAATTCCGAAAACATTTCTCTACAATTGCCACAAATTAAAATGTCTGGGTTGCCTAGAATGAGATAAAGAGCAAGTTAGTATCGAGCATGCAGAGTTTTGAACCACAAAAATGTGTTCATTAGTGGCTTTGCAGCCACAATGCAGAAGTTTTTTTTTCCAGTTTAGAGAAAAGAATATTTTTAACTTTGCTGGTGTTGAAAATTTTTTTAATTGAAATTACTTTGAGATGGAACCATGAAAATTGTTGTCTGGTTTGAGTACTAGGATTGAGGTTATAGTTGGTGGCCAATAGGTACAATCAATAAAAATTATACAAAATTTGGATCTAGCGTAAATCTACAAAGTTTAATTTAGAAGAGGGACTGATCTTTAGTCTTTATTGATGTAAAACTTACATTGTGAGCCATGGTATTGCTTAAATCTTTCTGAATACAAGAGTGTATGGTCAGTGGTTCTCAAACTTTTCGGACCGCGACACAAAAAACTATTTATCTAGTCAAAACTTTATTATTTCTCGATTTATCTGAAGATTTTAGTACACTGGTATCGCAGAGCATAGTTTGAGAAGCACTGATCTCAATCTTACTACCTTCAGCCAACGAAATCTCGTTTCCATCCTCAACACAAAAAGTTCTCCTGCATGCCACATACATATTCCCATAAATAAATAAACAATCAAGGACAATACTCACTGTATACTTTAAATGGTCCTGCAATTGAGTTCTGTTGATTTATATTTTCATTATTGTCACCATTGCACGATTTACTGCTTCCATTGCTACTCAAACTGCCATTGTAGTTGCTCACATAATTCTGACTCGGTATGGAATTACAGAGACTTACAACTGGACTTCCATTTGCCATTAATATTTGTTGCTGTTGCTGCTGTAAGTGAAGGAGACTGTTGGCCGCTGCTGTCGTCAGTTTATTAGCTACCATTTGTTGCTGTTGCGTCTGTGGCTGCAATACCATTTGAGCTTGAGGACTTCCTAATGTAATTGTTGGACGTGCTTGAGCTGTTGTCATTAACCTTTGTCTTTTCACGGCACGCGGTTGTGGTGTTGCTTGCGGAAATAATGTTGATGCATAGTAGCTAAATAAGGGATAAAATGAATTAAAAGTTAAATAAATTTTTTTTAAAGGAACTTCCATATACACAAATAAATACAGCACACATCTCTCATGCGGAAAATTACACAGTAAATAAGAGAGGAGTTTCGGATATAAAAATTTAAATTACATTTTTAAGAAGGGATTGCTGAATTTTATGCACAGACAAATAATGTTTTGAAGTAAATGTGAATGTCACATGAATGTGTAGTTAATTTTGTAAAGTTTTAAATGTTCTGTTCTTTAGAAAAATTAATTGTAGCGAAGCTTTAAAGACCTTGTAAGAATTTTTTTTGAGAATAAGGGTATTGCAAGAGTTATTGTCGTTGTTGGCTGATCCCTGATCTCTGTTTGCAGAGGCGTATCAGGAATGTTTGTTTTTTGGAGCAAAATCAAAATTTGCTCCATTTTTGTAATAATGCACGAGGCCAATAAATATCTTTTGGAACCCTCATGCTTCTGAAATTACCAAAGCAGAGCTCAAAGTCAAGAAAGTCTTGAACGGATTCTGTCATATCGATGAAAATCTCGAGTCGACTTTGAGCTCTGAAAATTACTTATAAAATTTATATTTTAATTCAAACGCTTCCTATAAATCAAAAATTGATCAAAATACCCAATATTGCTGCATTTTCAAATAATCAAACTTTAAAACTCTCAATCCTCCAATGCTCATTGGAACCATATTATAAAAGTTTTTTTAATTCACGGAAAACCATGCAATAATACCGAAAATAAAATCATTTGCACAGTTCGATTTTAAGGTCAAAGTCATTGAGTGCTTAAACAAACTTTTACTTCATATTTCGCTATGAAGGCTCTATAGACTCAGTTTTGAATTGAAAAGCCATAGAAATTTCCCATTATTGAGTCAATATTTGCCAACAAATCGTAAATGCTGATAACTCGCAACCGTTCACATGAAACTGATATTTTTTCTGTGCAGTTTATTGAATATTGTGATTTGCAGAAAATTTTAGTTGAACTTTTGACCTAATAGATTTTTAGGATTTTCAAGTTAAATGAGAAGGACTATTTATACAAAAATCAAACAGCGAGTCTTTCAAGCTTTTAAAAATAATTTTTAATTAAAATCTTTTCTTTTTCTCACCTATCGTAATAGTAATCCCAGTCATTTCCCGTTTTCGTTGTATTCTGTCGCTTCCTACCCGTTTGATGAGGCTTTTGAATTTTAAACACGTTCAGATGATTTTATTTTTCGTAGAGGTGAGAAAAACACATTCAATGAGTGAAAATGAAGTAAAAAGAGAGAATATAATTTTCAAAAAAAATTTCCTCACGAACATTTCCAGATGAAAGAATATTCACCTTCGGCTCCGCGACCATGTTAACATCTGAAATGAAAGTGTAAAATTTTTTTAAAGATTTTTTCTTCTCTGTTTTGTGAACTTAAATTATTCATTTATTTATGTTTGAAGTCAATCCTCAAGTCTTTTTCGCAGAGATGAAAGTTTGAAGTTTATTATTTTGATGGAATCTTGGACCTTGTCAGACCATAAGATCTATAGCTGTTCGTTATTTGCGTTTACCAAGACATTTTAACAGTCTATTTGCGTTTAACAAAACTAATGATAGTTTAAAGATTGAGTGTTCGCCTGGTTTCCCGCTCAAACTTAGAGTTACAATCATTATGGGATCCGAACCACTTCTTTGATGACACATCTGCTCGTAGCCTATAAAGAAAGGCTGTGAGCCTCATTTTCAGTACATATGATTCGAAAAAGAACAATCGATGAATTGCTCTTGCTGAGTCTCGAACTCATTATCGCTTTTTCGGAATTGCAATAATTGGGTATCGAAGTATTAAACCATTCCGCCATCGAGCCATTTTAGTTCGTAAAATCGAATTTACAAAATTTATTATAAATTAAATATTTATATGTTTTAAAAATCTTATATAAAAAAATTAAATTGTAAATAAATGTCAAAACAAAATTCGAAAATTCCCTTTCAAAATTCAATTAAAAATCACAAAGACAAAGCAATAAAAATTCTCACCATAAAAAAACATGTAAACAAAAAAAAAACACTGAATTGATAAGTGTGCGAAGCGATTTCCTGATGATGTGTATTTTTTTGAGTTGCTTTATTATAAATATTTGTGAAAACGACTCAATGTGCTTCACGAAAAGTTTTCTTAGACAGCAAAAAAATATGTTTCTACAATTTTGCAGTCGTAAAAGTCAATTGAAAATTTTCAAAAAATAATTTCGAAAAGTTTTGCTGCAGAATTTATGGATTGATGAAAATGTTCCAACACATTTCAAGGTTGAGTTATTTTTGTGCTATAAAAATTTTTATCTCATTTCCCACAGCTTTCTCGCTAATAAAAATCATCATTTGCAGACCGCTTTAAAGGTCAATGTCTTTTTGATTCTTATTAGATAAATTATTGAATACAAGCTGATCGTTGTTAATGAAGATGTTAGCTAAAGTGATCATTTGTAAGGTGCGATGTGTCATAAATTAATTCACACTTTAATTAGTCAACAGATTTTCTCATTCAAATTCAGTCAGCGTCTCCATTAATTTTAATTAAAAATTTTCTTTCATTTCTTTCTTATTTTGATTTTCCGATTAAAGTGTTGTGAGAAAAATATTTGGATGAGGAAATATTCGAATTTGAGGAATGAAGTTACATAGCAAGTATGCTGAAGTCGAGTGGATAAGAGGGAGGGGGGGGGGGTTGCTGACCCGCGTCTTTGAATCGCAGCTCCTCTTCAAGAAAGTAATAAAAGCTGTGACCTGATTAGGATCCAACATGCTCTGCAGTTTAACATTAATATCAAAAGAAACATATGAAAAAAAAATCAAAATGTTAAATCTTTCAATTCCTTCAAAAAAACTCATTTCCATTTCTAAAATCCTCTAAAACTTCATATCATTCATCCATAGAAATAGAATTCCGTAAATGTCAAATAATAGACATAATCCAATACAAAAAAGACGTCATTTGTCTCAATATTTCTTTCACGCTCAATCATAAAATATTTTCACAAACATGAAAACAACATTTTTTCAATTTTTGATATTAAAAGAATCTAGGAATTATGAAATGTTTTCATCATTTCACATTTTTTTATGCGTTAAAGTTGTACATATGATGTGAATTGTGTGTGAAGAGACACGTGTTGCTTGATGTAATGTTGGAATTTAAATATATTCTTTGACAAACTTTGTAACAACAGGAGGGGAGAGTGGGGGGGGGCATAAAAATTTGTTTAAAAGAAGGGAAATGCAGAGTTTTGTGAAAATTTTAACAATTTCTGAATGAAAATGATTAATAAGCTCTTCCAAAAATAATTTACATTTAGAACATTCAGGCTACAATTTTACTGAATATCAAAAATCAAAACCGAGCATTTTTCACATTTTTTTACTGAAAAATATTTTTCCAGCATCAGAAAATTTCATCATCTGATCTTAATCTATTTTCCTGTCTATGAACACGTTTAAAATATTTTTGATGGCCGAATTACATTTCAACACATTTTTTTAATCCACAATTTTCTTCATAAAATGGCTTTTATAATTTTTAAGTCTAAATTTAAATATTATTAATCTTGAATAAGTGAGACTTTATTTTACTTGATTTTATGTCTACATTTATACAACATTTCAAAACATGATGATCAAATAAATGTGAATGTAAAATTCTATAAAATGTTTGTAAAGAGTTTTATGAAAATTTTAAAATTTTAAAAGCGTTTTTGAAGAAAAATCAAAAATTTTAAAAAATTTTTTGAAAAAAAAGTTTAAAAAATATTTTGAACTTTTCCGGTCATTATTTTAAACTTTTTCTTCAAAACAAAAATAGATTTTTTAACCCTTTACTTTTAAAAGTTAACACTTTAAATTTCAAAAGTCAAAATCTAATTTTTTTGCAATTTTAAGAATTAATTTAAATTTACAATAATCAACCATTTTTAATTTTAATTTAAAACAGAAAAAAAATTACTTTTAAAATAGATAATTCTCGATTCTTTTTTACAAATTCTCATTTAATTAATCAAAATAGCCTGAAATCAAAACCAGACTTCCTCGGAAAATCCCCTCCAATTACTTAATTTTTTTCATTTTTACACGAACATTCACACATTGGAGATCATCAAAGTGTGTTTATAAGTCGAGAAATCCCCACACTTCAATAATATATCTTGGCTTACTTCCAGCCAAAAATTAACACAGAAATTATTTTTCACTTCAAAATATTTTGAAATGCCCGATTTAATCACTTACTTTACTATTCTATTCACCTTTGTTTTACGTTAATGTGACATGACGTCAACAGGTTAAGTCAAATGTTTAGAAATAAATGACAAAAGAAGATATTTTGTGGACACGTTTAAAGCAGTGATTGACGAATGATTTTAAGAGTAAAAGAATTTTCATTTGCTTGAATTGTTTAAAAACGAAAATTAACTTTGATGATGAACAAAAATCTCGATCGGCATTTGAAAAATTTTTATGCTAATTTTTTTTTTAAAACATTTTGTTTTTTGTTCATCGATAATTCTTTCCCCACTTGACAGCTTTTGTTACATTTTTCAAGTATGTGATAGTATTTCATGCTGTGAAAGAGAGATTTGTGGCTTGATATATTTATCTAATTTTGTGTATTTCAATATGTTTGAAATGTGTGTATTGAGTGTTCCAAGGTTACAGACTATTGCTTGGGTTGCTAAGGAGTTATTCACTTATTACGTAACGCTTTTAGGGACATGGAGAGTCTGAGATTTTGTAACAGTTCAAAAAAATTAATTTTTCTTCATGCAACCTTTTTGTGACCAGGGGGGGGGGGGGGGGGGGTATTCATTTGGCTAATATAGATGTAATCGATATTAATATAAATCATAAACTAATCAAATAAGAGGAGCTTTATAAGACATACTATGATGTGAACCTTAAGTTTTGCAAGACCTCAGTCTCGAGCTCAAGCGAGTGACAAGAAATTACACCTCCAATCACTCCCCCCCCCCCCCCCCCCTCTTTATTCCAAAATCTCTTTTTGTTCTAATTTTCAATGAATCCAAAAAAAAACTGAGCATTAAATCAATAAATGAACATTTTCAATTGAACGCAACCTGTTGCTAGTTCTAAAGTAGATACATGAACATTTTTATTTCAAACGATAAAATTTGATGGAGAATTCTTCTTCCCATCTACAAAATTTTTATCGTTCCTTTAAAAACTTTATTTATTTCTACACATGCCAGTGGTGTAGTAAGCGGTTTCTTGGTGATAAATATAAAATCCAAAAAAAGTCGGTAAATAGAATAGAAATCCGGTGCAAAGCTGGCATGACTCTGGTTTCGATATAAATCCAGCACCATGTCAAAATCACATACCGGTTTCTGATTAATTTACCGACGTGTGCCATTGGGGGGAGGGGGGGACTTGTATGAAAATTCTGGATATTACTGCGTTTTGTCATTTGAATGAGGGGTTTCGGTCCTTTGAAGTTTAACAATCACTTTCTCACGCTACGAATACAAAAATCTAAAATTCCATACACAAAAATTAATTAATTGTATCAGAAACCCTAAACCTTAAATAATACTAATCAAACCACAATTTACCAAAAGTTTCAAGTTACAAGTTTCAAAAATGCGCTAAAAAAGAGATTAAAGTCATCAAATATTTACATTTCTACCCTGACTACACCACTGTAAAGAAACATTTTATTTACTTTCTTGTTTGAGACATGAGAAAATAAATAAATAAAATAGCAAAGAAGCTTTGTGTCATTGCACGATTTACAATGAAAAATTTATTTTTTCTCTAACATTATCGAGAAGTTCCATGCAGACAAACATAAATTCACTCCTGACCTACAAAGATCACAAAAACAAAAAATTGAAACATTTTACAAAACAAATTATTTATTCATTTTTATATTTTCTCAAACAAAAGACACGTTGACTTGAAGAAAGAAGAAAAAGGGAGAAAAATTATTGAGTGATGGAAGTGGAGGCAAATGCCAAAAATAGGAAAAAAGAAGAAATTTCCTTCTTGTCGTGTCTGCGTTTTGAATGTTGATTTTTGTGGAAACATATGGGATGTTTTTGGGTTCATTTTGTCGCAATTGATTTTTTTGGATGTGATGGATGGTTGATTGAATCTAAATAGGTTGAAGAAGTAAATCTAGACATGTTGTAGACAGTGCGTGCTTTAGAGGAAGAAAATAAAATTATTGAACTATTGTGATTTAAAGGCTGACAATCTGCAAGGATTGTTTTTCTTCTATTTTATTTAAATCTGACCAAAGGGCTCATGGTCATCTGGCAGAAAGTAATTCCTAGGAATTCTTGTTACTTTACGTATAATTTTATAAGGAAAACGTAGGAATTTCCTATAGGAAATCCTAGGAATTCCTTGAAAATTCATACGCAAAGTAATAGGAATAATTAAATAAGTTAATGAAAAAGTACAAAAATTAGGAATTTCAACATGGTTTAGCAATTAAGAAATTTTACCGCATTTTTGAAACTTGTTTCTTAAAGGTAGCTTATTAGTACACTTTGTTCGGTTGTTCGGGTGTTCGGCTGATCGGGCGAAGAAAAACTTTTTAACCATGCTCGGGTTTGTTTAATCAGCTCAGTTCTTTCGAGTTATTGACCGAACGAATATTTTTGAAGCATAAAACAATATATAACACCATGACTTTTTCCAATTTTTTAATAGGCACTCGTTAGTTTATTGCAAATCTTAACATTAACAAGAAATAAAAGTCAATATCTTTACTAAAATTGGATCCTAAGGATCCTTAGCAAATTCTTCAGTATTAGGAAATTCCTTGAAGAATTCATTTAATATACTTAGGAATCTTAGGTTCCTTAGTAAATTCTACAAATAGTAAGGAAATTCCTTGAAGAATTCATTTAATATACTTAGCAATCTTAGGATCTTTAGTAAATTCTACAAAAAGTAAGGAAATTCCTTGAAGAATTCATTTAATATACTTAGGAATCTTAGGATCCTTAGTAAATTCTACAAAAAGTAAGGAAATTCCTTGAAGAATTCATTTAATATACTTAGCAATCTTAGGATCCTTATTAAATTCTACAAAAGTAAGGATATTCCTTGAAGAATTCATTTAATATACTTAGCAATCTTAGGATCCTTAGTAAATTCTACAAAAAGTAAGGAAATTCCTTGAAGAATTCATTTAATATACTTAGGAATCTTAGGATCCTTATTAAATTCTACAGATAGTAAGGAAATTCCTTTAAGAATTCATTTAATATTCCTTGAAGAATTCATTTAATATACTTAGCAATCTTAGGAACTTCTAGGATTTTGAGGAAATTCCTCCAAGATTTAATGAGCTATCCTAGGAAATTCTAGTATATACTAGGAAATCATAGTAATAATTTAAAAATTTTAGTTCCTAAAATAAGGTCCCTAGGAATTACTAGGATTTTCCAAAGTTCCTAGTTTTTCCTAGGAATTCCTAGGAGCCTACGTAAATCTCTACGTAAAAATTCCTAGGAACTACGTAAATTCCTAGGAATTCCTAGGAATTACTTTCTGCCAGATGTCCAACACCCGCACTGAATTAAACCATAAGTTGAAAAAAGACCGCCCTCTTTTTTATATCCTCAAAAAAATGTTCTAAGGCAGCAGAATATGTAATTTGTTTTTGAGGTCAGTTCTATTTGGAAATGAGAATTGAACCCTTGCCTCAATTTTCAATTTAACACCGTGCCGATAGACATCTTTTTAATGCTCCTAATTCATGGAATTTAAGGTTTATTAGAGCAAATGCGCTTTACAATATTTTCACAGCCATCAATGTCTCCTCTACAGTCTCATGTTTATGTATTTTTTCATATTTTTCTGCGATAAAAATAATCCAATGAAAAAAAAAAATTCAATTTGTTCATGTTTATATTTCAGCTGATTATGCTATTTACAGCCATTTGTGTATATTGTCAAATAGAAAGTGACAGGAAAATCATGTTTCCATCTATTGAGTCATGTAGATTCATAAAAAAAGATGACAAAATATTTCCCAATCCACACAGTTCCTCTAAATGTGACAAAATTGATTATCAAGTTTGTCATTAATTTTGTGGATTCTTTATGCACGTGCGACAAAGAAAGTAACGCCGCTGATGATGATGATGTTACACTAGTGTGACATTTAATCGTCATAATGTCTTAAAATATCTTCAAAAAAATACTTTTTGCTTCTGTTTTCCGTTCATGACGAGTGAGTAGAAGCAAAAAATTTTTTCTTTGGGTAGGAAATGAAAAGTAGTGCAAGCAGGGACGTAGCTTGAGATTTCTTGTTGGGTTTGAAATTTCAAATTTTCTAGGCTTGGATTTTATCTCAACAGAGAGATCTAACCAATCCAAAGAGTCAAACAATATGTGGGAAATTGATTCCAAACGAGCTGTTGATCTGCTTTTTCCACTATGCCAACCATATCTACACCCCTGACTGCAAGCATCAAAAGAAAATTTCTTCACACGGTCGCTAAAAGAATTATAAGAAGGGAATTTCGAGCCGTAACAGGTACGCCATGGCTGGCACGCAATTGTGACTTCTCTGCCGTTGTTTTCAAATCAAAGTAAAAAAAAAACAGAACTTGGCGGTAAATAGAAAAAAAAAGTTTTTAATTTCAGTTGATGTTTCTTTTTATGGCTGCAAAACAGTCAAAAAGGAAAAATGTATGTTAATATTTTTTTTTTGGTATTTACCATTTCATATTCTCTCGCGCACCGACTTGAGGTTAATGTTACAAATACGATGAAAATCGATTCTCGTTTTGTTTTTCCATTCATGTGTGTGGATATGAATGAGTTGGCATAAAAATAGAAATAAACTCACCTAAAACCTGACTAAGAACTGTTCGTCCATCTTCACCATGACATGCATTTCGGGCATCAAATGGATTTGTGAATTGTACGAAGGCATAGCCTTTATGCATTGAAATTCCTGAAAAAAGAGAAAATTAAAAATGAAAAACAGATTTGTTGTAGTCCATTTTGGGGTTGATTGAAATGGAAATGAATATAAATGTTGATGAACTTTTGGGAGTGAGGATTGTGATTTTGTATGCAATTTAATTATGGATATAAAATGAATGTTCTCTTGCAAAATTGTTGTAATTTTATTTATTCAATAGTATTAAGATTTGTTTTACCAAATTTTAAGGGTAAAAGTTGGTTTAAAGCTGTCGAATTTGAAACAACTTTTTTTTTTAATAGTAATTTAATACTAATCCTCCCATAGGAGACGTAGGCACCATCTTAGTAACTGGAGATGCTCCCAATATTACCCTTCTTTAATAACCAACTCGATACCCAAACGTGCAATTGTTAATAATTCAATTCCCACACCCCAAAATCTCCGATAAAATTCAATGCTAAACTCCATCCACAAACATTCAATTTAATGAGACAACACGTCACATTTCACAGCATGCTTTTTGCTGCACATCCAAATATTAATCCAAAACATTCAATAGCATCTCATTAAAATCCACAAAATTGGTCATGAAAATTACCAACAAGGAAATTGTTTATGCATGTACAAAAATTGATAATCAATAACAACAACAAAAAAAATTGTTCCTGTTTATTCCCACTCAACAGCTGATAATATTTATTCGATGAATATGAAAAATAACACGAATGTTTCAATATTTTTATTATTTCCATACTATTTTATTATTTTATTTCTTTTTCTCTTATTCTCCTGTTTCATTTTTTTTATGGATTGCAATGTCGAATGAATTGTCGATGAATTTATAAGCAGCAATTGAACAGATTACAATCATCTGTTATGGTATAATTTTATAGATATTTTCACAATCTCGCAGAGAGTGGATAAAATAAAATTATTCAACATCAGGATGAAGTTGAAAAGAAAAGTGGAAAGGCTTGGAATGTAAGGGGTGGGAACTTGATTTTCCTGTAGTTTACTCTCAAACTTTGCTCCCAGCTTTCTCAAATTTACTCTCAATTCTCTCAAACTCGCTCTCAAGTCTCTGAAATTACCTCTCAATTCTATCAAATTCTTTCAATTTTACTCTCTATTCTCTCAAATTTGCTCTCAATTATTTTAAATAGCTCTCAATTCTCTCAAATTCTCTCTCATTTTCTCAAACTTTCTCTGAATTATTATAAATTCACTCTCAGTTCAAATTAGCTCTCAATTCTCTCAAACTCGCTCTCAATTTTCTCAAATTCTTTCTCTCAAACTTGCTCTCAATTATTATAAATTCACTCTCAGTTCTCTCAAATTCGCTCTCAATTCTCTCAAACTCGCTCTCAAGTCTCTGAAATTACCTCTCAATTCTATCAAATTCTCTCAATTTTACTCTCTATTCTCTCAAATTTGCTCTAAATTATTTTAAATAGCTCTCAATTCTTTCAAATTCTCTCAATTTTACTCTCTATTCTCCCAAACTCGCTATCAGTTTTCTCAAATTAGCTATCAATTCTCTCAAACTCGCTGACAATTTTCTCAGATTTACTAATATTGCTCTCAAATTCTCTCTAAATTCGCTCAATTTCACTCTCTATTCTTTCAAACTCGCTCTCAATTTTCTCAAATTCTTTTACAATTTCCTCTCAATGCTCATTTAAAAGTTACCACCCCCTGACCCTCCTACATGCATGCACTCCCACCACCAACCCCAAATTCATAATGAACGTATACACACAGAATGAGAGAAAATTTTCAATACAAAATTGTGATCGATTTATCTTTCTTGCTGCACATATAGTGAATATTATCGTCATCATCGTATCGTGTGATAAACGAGAGTAAAAAAAATTGAAATAAAATTTTATTCGAATAATGATAAACAAACCGATACGATGATGGGAAAATCAATGAATGAAAATCCGATTGCTCAATTATTCAATTAAAAGCAGTTATAAATATTTTATTAAATCTGAATGAAAAAATAATAAAAAGGAATAAAATGCTTGGCTGATTTTTTTTTTGTGAGGGGGTATAGTGAAGGGGTTTTTTTAATTAAAAGGGGTTGAGTAGGATTGGTTCTTAAAACGTTTGCAGGAGGGTCTTATTAAAGTGGTCAAGACAAAGTATATTAAAATGGCCCAAGATACTTCACGCGATTGATATTTGTATGAAAAATGTTAAGAACCCTCAAAAAAATCGATAATCTTAAGAAAGAGGTCTACAACCCATGTTCTGTAGGTTTCTTTTGGTTATGGTTAAGGTTATATTAATAGATAAAATTTAAATAATTTAAAATAACCAAATAGGATAGTTTAACCAAAAATATCTCAATAAGAAGTTCGGTTCTTTCTTATTTCTTTTCATAGCTCACAAATATAGCCAAATTGTCTCGTGTCTTTTCTTTTATGGATTTCTCATTTTTTGAATATTTTTTTTAAATGAAAAGTTTTTGTGATAAATCAGTAAGGGAATGAAAATAAAGAATTCAGCAAATAAATTAAATTCATTATAATTTGACTGTCGTGTTTACTTCATTTCTTTATTTATTTACTTTTTTTTTTGGGACGATGTAGTCTGACTGATTTATTTGTTCAGAATTAAAAAATAAACTTTCGATTTTTAAAATGAAAAAATGTTAATTAATTTTTTATTAAAATTGAGAGTTTTAGGCAGGGTTGCAGCCAGAATTGTTTGAGAAAGAGGGAAGAATTGAATATTTTTGGATCGACGCAAAAATTTAAGATTTATTTTTTGTCAAATTGAAGTAATTTTTCTAAAAAGATGAGGTTTTGACCCCAAAATTCTCTCTTGCTAGATAAGCATGTTAAGATGGGTCAATGTAGTGCAATATCCAGGAACATACATAAGAAAGACAGCATACGCAGGGATATCCAAAAAGAATTACTTAAGGGGGGGGGGGGGGGGTGTATCATCATTTTTGATAGATTTATAAATAACCGAAACCTAAAACTCTAGAATTTTTTTTCGATCAGTTCCCTGATTCAACTCTAGACAGTCATTGGACTCTCTAGTAAAATTCTCTCAAATTCAACTTTCAGCCAAAAAAAAAACTCTTCTTTCACTTAGAAAATAAATTTATCGACTCTAATTAACACTTTTTGCAAAAGAAAAAAAAAATATTAAAATTTTATAATTCACGAGAAAAAAAGTCTCACCTGCCAATCGTCCGTAGCGCTGAAACATCCTCTCAACATCTGCCTTTGAGCACTGAAATGTGTTGAGATTGCCCACAAACACTCGACTATTTACTGCTTGTGGATCTTGCGAATTTGTTTGATTTGAAAGTTTTGACATCTTCATTTTTACGAAAGAAAAGTTATTTTTTTATCACTTTTATAATTTCATTAATTGCTTCACATTTGTTAATTTAGGGGTGTTTAAATTTTATTTGTTCAACTTTTCTTTTGAATTTTCTTTCTTCACCTGAAATGAATGGGGAAAATTTATTGATTAAATGTGGAAAAATTTTCGAGATTTTAATTGTTTGTAATTTTTCGTAATAAATGGAAAATTTAATAGAGCCTTAAGATTAAGAATTTGAGTTATTCATTGTTTTTAGGGTTTGATTCTCAGTTCGAATGACTTTTTCCTTAAAAGTTAGGTTTTTTGAATCAAACTTGCCATTACTAGTAATGTCAAGTTACTAGGAATGTCAATTTCTCAGACCCTGCAGAAAATAGACGAAATAAGTCAACAACCTAAGGTGTCATTTACTTATGACGTCCATAAAAAACATGACTTTTAGATACCCCCCCCCCCCCTTTCTGTCACAAAACTGTCACAAATGCCCCCCACCATATTCGGTAACGTCCAATCTAAGATTACTAAAAACTATGATTTTCTTTTTTCGAATTATAATTACACAAATTTCCTGACTCCCCCTCCCTTGTCACAATGACTCACAAAGTCCTAGACCACCCCTCCCCCCTAAATTTCGGATGTCATAAGTGAATGACCTCTAACCACATCTTATAATCCATCAAACATCTCACAAAATCCTTCAAATTACTCAAAAAGTCTCATTCAGGGTCTCATTTGAAACTTCCATTGATTTGCATCTTTTAAAAGCAGCTTATGTGCCATAAATCAAAAGGATTTATAAGCATTATATGAGCAACATGTGTATCAATTGAGAATAATTTTAAATTATATCTAGCAGGCAAATTAGTCAACAAATTGGGAGGATCATAAGCTATTTCCTTTTGACATAAAATCACTGAGATAAATTTCAATCAAAAATGGACTTTTATTAATTCTTTGAAAGATCTTTGACTATCAGATTCCTATTTTCCTTTCAAACTCATTCAAGCTTAATAATATGCAATCAATAATATCAGAGCATATGCATAAGAACTTTCATAAATTGCACAATTGATTGTTGGAGATGAAAATTTAATTCGTAAAAGCCTAAAGTGAAATGTTTTGTATTTTCATTAATAATTGATGAGAAGGATATTAGTGAATCATGTAGCATATATATGCATTATATAATCAAATGCATATGGAGAGAGTGGAAATACATTTATTCATATTTATATCATATGGGGTTTTGTGATGTTTAATAATATTGAAATCTCCCATTGATTTTCAATTAGCATCTAGCATTCATGCTGCTTCTGTTGCATTAGAATCTTTTGGATTGTGTGGTTTTTGGAGTGGGTTCCTGTTTTTGATAATTTGAGTAGTCGTTTTGTCTTTTTTTCTTGTTTTGTTGATAAAGGGAGCTTATTAAGGCAAGGTTGAGATTACGATGAAGTTTGAAGTGAGACTTGCCCTGTACTGGCTTGTGTGGATCCTAAATTCAGCCAACCTTTTTATTTGTAAGCTTGAATAATTCACATTTGAGTCATTCAACAGACTTGAGCCTTTTTAAACCTGAATTTTTATGGGCATTTGCTACATTATGGTGCCATCTTAACAGGAGCATAGCCAGGAATTTGAAGAGGGGGTCCAAAAAAATTTTATATGGAAAATTCAGATGGAAGAGGGAATTTTTGTGATTTTTTCATAAAAATCCTAGCAAAATGGAAAAATTTCTATTAATGTCGGGGAATTTGTCCCCCAAATCCCCCCCTGGTTACGCGCCTGTATCTTAACTTAATGATTGGTTCAATCCAAAGCTTGAAGTTGACATTACTTTTTAATGAAGTCGGGATGAGTCAACTCAATTCGTTCATGCAAAATATGGCATAATCGAAATCAATTTCGATCTTGTATAAGACTCTAGACCAGTGATGGGCAACCTATGAGCCGCGGCACACTATTGTGAACTGAAAAAATTCAGAAAAACCCACGAACCCTATGCCTTACCATCATGGTCTGCCGTGTCACTAAAAAGGTTGAGCATCACTGCTCTAGACCCTTCTCTACGCAACCAGCTACAATATCAAGTCACCAATAAAATCATTTATGTATGTAAAATGCGCACAATCTCCAAATCCCAGACATAAACTTTCAATTTCCAAAAGTTCGTACGTCCACTCACTCATGGTGTTTAAATACAACAACAATTCCAATAACAATATTAATATCAGTAATAATAACAATAAATTTAATTCTGTTTGTACGTATTTTCAAGCCACAACATAATAACACCAGTCAACTAGCCATCCGTACATATGAAATGAATCATACAATTGGACAAACAGAAGAGCCGAGGATGAGTAAGTGAGAATATTTATTTATGGGATTTAATACACAGACGATGATGATTGATCAAAAGGAAAATGAGACATGAAGGCAAAAAGGTACATGAATCTTTAATCAATTTGTCATTGGATATACCAATTAATATTGTGGATTATGTGTGTCTTTTGATCTTTAAAGTCTTCCATCTCAATCAATATGTCACTAATTGATCCCTTTAGTAATATTTCACTTATTTCTCTTTCGGCTAAACTTCCTCATGTCTGACTAAAGTTGCTGCTATACTTTAAAGGTGTGAACATTTTGTAGTGTTTTGGGATTTTTTACAATTTTATGCTTGATCAAAATTTTCTCTTGAAAAATATTTGGTTTCTTCCTTTTTGATATATTTTTTGTGTTCTCGGTGCTGTTACTCTTCCTGATGAATCCCATGAGTCACAAATAAATTTTTTTCCATTTGTTTAAAAAATATTATATTTTTATGTACATAAAAGCATGTCTGAAGTGATCCCTTGGAAGGAATTATTGGGAATTTATAGAGAGTTTTTGGTGTTCTTTGAGATGCAAATGGTTTTTGATGCTGAACATAAGCTTCGGGTCTATTTTTAAAGTCCGGTTTGTATCGTAGGGTACTTTGTCATTTTAAAGTCATTTTCTATATGAAATATGGTAAAATCCGAGTCGATTTCTAACGTTTGTTCACTCATAAACCTCACTATGTTACTAATCACTATGTCAAGTGACTTGAAGCTTGTTTCTTTATTCAATTTATTTCAAAGACTGATTTCTAGGGCGACATGGGGTACCATACCCTATATAATATAATAATGTGTGAAGGGACAGCTTTTCAGCTGGAGGCACTGCGATTCAAATTAGAACAGGATCTATTGTACCACACCCTTTAGACCTACAGTTTATAGTGGGATCCGAACCACTTGCAAGCTCTGCACATTGCAAAGACACGAGTACGTCATAAGACCTGATGTACCCTGCAATGAACCTAGTCACAATTCGTGTGCGCAAGATGCCGTAAGGAAGTCATCCAGATGCTAGTATATCCTCATAAACCTAACAAAGGAGGCATATTCTGTGCCAAAGACCTCAAAACTACACCCAACATACGAACCGAGCTTCGTAACTAGAACGGTGAAATGAAAAAGAGCTTCGAAAATTAGACATGGCCTGGGATTGAACCCAGGACCTTTAGCACAGAAGGCCAACGCTCTACCATTTAGGCCACTGATGCCATTTCACCGCTTAAGTACCATACCCTAGTCACAGTTAATTTTTGGATTCTGCTGTAGCATGTCACGAGTAGCTTTCGAAACCGGCCCTATGGGTATTTGATTGATGATCATCGTAAGAAAAGAATGTCAATTAGTTTTCTTGATTTCGTTTATTTTTAATTTGGAGTCCAAGCAATTTTTAAGGCTCAATTTTATGCTCCTCGAGCGATAATCAGTTTCTAAGAGGTTGAGTTACTATGTCAATTGGTTTATCCACATAGTGATGGCAATTTCATGACTGTTTTTTGACGAAGTTTGGACAAAGCAACATTCAATTGCCATCTCAGCAGATTCATACCTTATTTTGGCTATAGCTATACATAATCTCCCAAAATTTCAGATATTCGCTAGAAAAGTCCCAAAACACCCATATTGCGATTATTGAAGAAACTATATAAATAAAGTATGAATCTATACAACAAGAACAGCTTCATCATAAGGATGATCATGGATATACACTATGATACATACAAAAGCGTGAAGAGCACAAAAAATTCAAATGAACGATACACTTGGGTGTTAAAATATACTCTAAATTTTTCATAAATTCAACACAAAAGCTGTAGTCGATATCGTTTGATAGAAAGTTTATGAATGAATGAATGTATTATCGAGAGGAAATAAAAATTTCTATCCTATGCTGGCTATTTGCTATCAGTTTTGTTTTATTTTTTTATTTTTTGTGAATATAAAAATTTTGGCCAAATTTATTCCAACTTGTTTTTGAGATTTCCACGTTGATTTTAGTGCTGGGATAAATTTCTGATTTTATGTGGATATTTTATTAAAATTTATAGATTTATGAATTTGTAATTTGACCATATGATGAAATAGGTCACGGACGATATGATTGATTATCGTGAATGTTATTGATGAAATTTGGAGTGGATTTAAATTAATTTTGTGGAAAAAAATCGGATTGACGTGGAAAATTTTATTTAAATTTCATATTTTTAAGATTGCAACTTAATTAGCCTTTAATAAAGTAATAAAACAATGAACCTATCATCAAGTTATGTTTGAACTCACTTTAAAATTAATTTCATTATTTTCCACAAATAAAATGTTTCATAAATCCGCGAAATTTATTCTTGATTTTTCTTTGAACTTATTTTGGTTCACCACAAAAGAAAATTCTTTATGTCGATTTCTGACACCAAAAAAACCAGCAATGTAAATATTCCACAAATTGTCCAATTTACAAGCAAGACTTGCAAGCTTTAAATTTAAATTTCCCCACTCAACTTTTCATCACTTAGCTGTTTTCTTTGTATAAATTACATTTATTTGAGCCGTCACATTAAATTAACAACACGGCGTCTTAACTGAATGCACATGTTGGATACACAAATATTAAATGTCTTTAAAGAGCGTTACTTGAGTAATTATAGCA